AATGTGGCTCTGCAGGTGGGGGAAGGCAGGCAGGCATTGCATTGCTTTTCGTGGGGCTTGCCTTCGGATGGCGTCCATCACAGCTGTGAATCCTGTCACTGGCCAAGCAATTCAAGTCTTTTTCTACTTGCCTATAGTACCTGGTGCGTTATCAAAAGTTGGGAAGATTAAAGCAAACAGGCTGAAGTTTGGGGTAAACGTGCCGGTTTAATGTTACATTCCCTCCTAGGGGTGATAGCCTGTCCTTGGGATGGATGGGTTTCATGGCTTAATGGAGCACTTCAGTCTGTCTTTTCTACCATCCTGGTCTGGTTGGAATAAGGTGGCACAGCTTCTATGCTCAGCTCTGACTGCTTCCTTCTAAGGGATTTCAAGGACTTTAACATTGCGTTTAGCATCCAATCTCCTTGTAATATACTGTAAGCATTCTCCCTTTTTTAGGGATGAAAAATGGAGCCGTCCAGTGTACTTTGCCCAAAACCAGCCTGGGACAGAGCTGGGAGCAGAGCCCAGCTCTCCTGACACTCCTCATTCTTTGAATTGCCCCACAAGCCAAACCTCCCTCCTCTATCACGGCGCCTCTGTGGGGATATAAAAAGCCCACAGTGTCTAAAAGAAACAGGCTGTGTCAGAAAAATCTGTGTGGTGGGTAATAACATGGTGGCTCAGCATGGAGAAGAATGTGTGCATTTGTTTGCTAGCACTGGCAGTGTTTTGTCCTCCCCGTCTGTGATAGAATAGATGGTGCCTGCTGGAGACTAGAGAGAGAGCAAGTAAGAGCTCTTAGGCTTTTATTATGGGCTTCTTAAGAGAGAGTGAAATCTGGAAGCTGATGCTCAGTACATTGCCTCTCTTCTTGAGGTTTATTCTGCTGTCCCTTAGCCTGAGAGGGGCCTTTCTCCCAGAAGATATGGGTTATACTCCAGAGTGTCCGTATCTCTGCTACGGGAGCCTGTGTGCACATGGGGGAGAGCCTGTGTGTTTCCCCTTTGCCACGTGGACAGTGGATGTCAGTCTCCAGTTTGAAGTGGATTGACTGCAGCTCTGCGCACAGCTTCAGTGCTGGTCCTTGCTTGGGCTTGTTGGGTGGCATTAGGCGCCTTCCACCCTCTCCAGCCAGCTAGAGCTGCTTCGCAATTCTCTACAAACTATTGCTTGGGTAAACTTCATCCTGGAGATCCTGCTGGCTTAGTTGTTCCAGTGCTTCTAGATAGCAAGGAGCTAGTTGGAGGAGCACAGGGGGGTGGTGGTGAGTTCTGTGCGTCAGCGGGGTTTCTCCTATGATCAGAGGCTGAAGATCCCAGACTTCTGTACCAGGCAGCATAGTTTGGGGAGGAGGTAAGATGCCAACAGTGGTGAAAGAACAGGTATGGGACTGTTTAAAAAAGCTGGACATGTACAAGTCCATGGGGCCAGTTGGGATCCACCTGAGGGAGTTGGCTGATAAGATTGCAGAGCCCCTGGCTGTCATCTTGGAAAACTCATGGTGATCAGGAGAGGTCCTGGATGATTGGAAAAGGGCGGAGTTCCCACATTTAAGAAAGGGGAAAAAAGGAGGATCCAGGGAACTACAGACCAGTCAACCTCACCTTTGTCCCTGGAAAAATCATGGAGCAGATCCTCAAAGAACCCATTTCTAAGCACTTGGAGGAGAAAAAGATGATTAGGAACAGTCAGCATGGATTCACCAAGGGCAAGTCATGCCTGACCAACCTGATTGTCTTCTACGATGAGATGACTGGTTCTGTGGATGTGGAGAAACCAGTGGATGTGGTGTACCTTGATTTTGGCAAGGCTTTTGGTACCGTCTCCCGCAGCATTCTCGCAGGCAAGCTAAGGAAGTACAGGCTGGATGAATGGACTGTAAGGTGGATAGAAAACTGGCTGGAGCATCAGGCTCGAAGAGTAATGATCAACGTCTCAACATCTAGTTGGCAGCCAATATCAAGTGGAGTGTCTCAGAGGTCGGTCCTGGGCCGGTTTTGTTCAATGTCTTCATCAGTGACCTAGAAGACGGCATAGAGTGCAAGTTTGCAGATGACACCAGCTGCAGGGAGCAGTAGATTTGCCGGAGGGTAGGGATAGGATTCAGTGACCTAGAAAAATTGGAGGCTTGGGCCAAAAGAAATGTCATGAGGTTCAACAAGGATAATACAAAGTCCTGCATTTAGGACAGAACAATCCCATGCACCAGTACAGGCTGGGGGCTGGCTGGCTGGGTGGCAGCTCTGCAGAAAAGGACCTGGGGGTTACAGTGGACAATAAGCTGAATATGAGCCAGCAGTGTGCCCTTGTTTCCAAGAAGACTAATGGCATCCTGGGCTGCATTGGTAGGAGTGTTGCCAACAGATCAAGGGAAGTGATTATTCCCCTGTATTCAGCACTGGTGAGGCCACATCTGGAGTACTGTGCCCGGTTTTGGGCCCCCCACTACAGAAAGGACATGGACAAACTGGGGAGAGTCCTGTGGAGGGCATTGAAAATGGTTCGGGGGCTGGGGCACATGACTTGAGGAGCGGCTGAGGGAACTGGGCTTATTTAGTCTAGAGAAGAGAAGACTGAGGTGAGATTTAACAGCAGCCTTCAGCTACCTAAAGCAAAGTTTGAAAGAGGATAAAGCTGGACTGTTCTCAGTGGTGGCAGATGACAGAACAGGGAGCAATGGCCTCAAGTTGCAGGAAGGGAAGTTTAGGTTGGATATTAGTAAAAACTTTCCCATAAGGAGGGTAGTAAAGCACTGGAACAGGGTATCCAGAGAGGTGGTGGACTCTCCATCCTTGGAGGTTTTTAAGACCTGGCTAGACAAAGCCTTGGCTGGGATGATCTAGTTGGGGCTGGTCCTGCTTTGAGCAGGGGGTTGGACTAGATGTGACCTCCTGAGGTCCCTTCCAACTCTCATTTTCTATGAATCTAAAATCATATGCACATGGGGCAGCCTCTTGACGGGACTGTGACCTGCTGGTTCAGGATCCCACTTGTGAATCCGGAGTTCAGGATTAGGCCACTATTTTGGTGGCTGTGTGCCTGCAGGTTGCCTTCAAAATTAGTGTGCAGCAGCACCTGCCAGCTGTCACCTCCTTTTCTCTACGTCAACTGCTGTCTGTGCAGGTCTAACTCTGTGGGAGGTGGGCGTTTGCTTTGTGCGCAAAAGGCAGTGGAGGCAAGTGCGCTCTGTGTCGCACTCCAAGAGAGCAGCTTTTGATGTGCAGTCTGATCTCTGCCCCTCGCTGGTGGTGCCTGAGAGCCGGCTGAAGCCTTGAGGCAAAACCTGCGTCGGAAACAACCCACAAGCTGTTGCTTCCAGCAACAATGCCGGGCAGCATGAGAACAATTTCTGCTGCTTCCCAGAAAGCTGGGCCCATAACACTGCAGGAAGCATGTACACTGTCTGCTGCTACATCAAACTGGTTCAGTCAGCCTGGCTGGGGAAAGAACTGGAACCACTGGAAGGACAAGCAGAACAGCC